CCCACCCTTCTTCACCCCCGTTTGGCCTCCTCTGCTTCCTGCAGCCACAGTCTCTTGGCCAGGAAACACCAGCTGCTTGGATTCCACCCACCTGCACTGGCTGACTCCCTGAGTGCCATTTGTTGGCTGCTGGTGTTGTTTTTTTCCACTTCTTTTGATTTTTTTCCTTACCTCTCATCACCTCCCCTTCCTTTCATTCAAATACCTGGCTCCATCTTTGCTTCCTCCTGAAAGGCTGTGAAACTCCACTCGAATGTGAAACTGCTTACTGGTCCATGCTGCCACGCTGGTGGGATCACGGCTTTTTTGTTTGTTTTGAATTGTTTGTTTTCTTTTTCTTTTCTTGAATTGGGAGCCCATTCTAGTCGGGCAGTACTGTGTGGCTTGGGACCTACTCCCTCAGCTTGTGCAGATGTGCAGAGGGATCCCTGAGCGCATTTCTTTTTTTGTGGGGTTTTTTTTTTTTCTTTCTGTGTTTTGGGGGATTTTCTTGTACTTTTTTTTTTTTTAATTTGTTTTGTTTTCTTTTCCCTCTTTTTCCCTTTTTGTCTTTCTTCATTACTCAGTTTCTCATCTCTCTATACCTTCCTTCTCTTCCTGGCCCCTGAATACCTGGCACTGAGTGGCACCTGTACGCCTTCTAGCCAGGCTGTACTGCAACAGCTGGGAACAACTTCCCCAGACCTCGTAGCCACACTGGTGGGATCCCTGGGAGCTTTTCTTTTCTTTTTTCTAATTTTTATTTATTCATTCTTCTCTTTTCTTTTTTTTTCTTCTTTTTCTCATTTTTGTTTTTCTTCATTTCATAGTCTCTCATCTCTCCACTCCAACGGCAAGCTCCCCTAGCACTATTTTTTGTTTGTTTGTAAGTTTTTGACTCCTGTTCCTCTCTCCCCTCTCCCATACCCATCTTAGCTACACACATCACAATCTCCCCCCTTCATCCTGCCTACCTGCACCGTGCGCTTAACTTCACACTACTAAGCAGCACAGGCACAGCCTACCGGAACCTGCCCTGCACTGATTACCGGCCCGCACTGGTGGCTGTAGTAAATGCCATAAATAACCCATCCCAGCAACTCCTCTTCATTTAGACCTGCCCTGCTCTACCATATCTGAGTGACTGACCCTCCCAATTGGAGAAGGAGGCAAAAAGGATTGTGCCCACAGATGAGCAAATAACAAAGAACACACAGCCCACCTGCTCAGACATAGCCAAAAAAAAAGGACAAAACAAACAAATCTACAATCAGTAAACAAGAAAAATAACTACTGAATGCCCTGAAGACAGAAGACAATAACAAACCATTTACAAAAACAGGACAGGATGGTTCCAGTAGGCATCCAAAATAAAACACCAGATGACTTTCCAGTAGAAGAAAAGGCACTAGAACTACCTGATAGGG